AAAAGAAAAATAGGAAGGAGGGCATCTCTGTGGTATTTAGATAGTACAGAGGGAATAGGAGCTTTGTTGGTGGGTCTGAAGGCCTAAGTGACGAAATCAGTGGAGGTTCCAGGATGGGGATGAGGCCCCTCTGGGTATCCTCAGGCTTCTTGGGGACAGTGATGGGGACTTACGAGTGAGGTCAGGCAGAAGCCAGGCATTGCAGTTGACCTGGTAGAGCAGAACATCGCTACTGAACTCATCAGTGTCTGAGCGCCCCCCAAGAACCACCATGGTGTCCCCCAGCAGGGCAGCAGCATGGAAGAGCCGGTGGTGAGGCTGTTGGGGAAACATGTGGCCAAAATGGCCTTTCAGAGCTGTCTTCTGCTCCACATCTTCCTCCCAGCCCACCCACCACCCTTGGATTTCCCCTACCTGTCCCCCAGCAGCCACCCAATCCTAGCCTTCCTCGAATCTCACCACCTTCCTCCAGGAGACCTCCTGTATCCCCAAGAGCAGCCTACAGAGCCATCTCCTGCCCCCGAGCTCCTGGAACCCCCATGTCCCAGGCTGCCCCATAGGAACTTGGCCCAGACCCCTTGAGATAAAAACCCCACATTCTTCATTTAATCTCATCAGCTAGGTAAGAGTACTCTAGGAGGCTCCCCCAAGACAGGCTTGGAAATATATATATGTGGACTGAAAACACAAGTGCCCCTGACCAGCAGGGGCTGCCTGTCTTCCTATTTCCTTGACCTCAAGGCAGGAAGTGCAAGGAGCACAGAGCCTTGAGCCTACTTTTCATAGATGAGGAGGCCCAGGAAGGTGAAGGGGCCTGCCAGGGCCCATACCAAGAGTCAGGGCAGAGCTGGGGCAGAAATTAGGCTTCTGACCTCCTGGCCTACAGTCTTTCCCCCCTAATAAGGGATGGAGGCAGGGGAGATGTGGGTGTGTCACAGTTCAGTTAGGAGATAGAAAAGAGAGGAAGTAGAAATCCAGGATGGAGCTGGACCCTAGGGTACTCAGAAAGGGGGCAACTCCCTCCTGCCTCCTACATCCATTGTCCAGACCTCTTTTCCTGACCTTTGACCCCTGAGAAGGGGCCAGAAGACTCCAGGTGCGGTCAGGACAGTGCAGAGAGTAGAGCTCTGGAGATGGGGCTGCCAGCTCCACGTGGAATCGGAAGCCCCCAAATACATAGAGGGAGTCAGTGGCCTCGTGGTAGACTGCAGAGTGACCATAGAGACCTAGTGGAGGCAGATGACCACAGGCTAGGGAAGGAGTAGTCACCAGCAAGGCCACCTGCTCACCTCCCTAGCCTTGCCTGCTCAGTGACCCCACCACTACTACCTTACCAGCCCTGAGGCCAGAGACCTGGGAGTCTCTCCCTGCAGTTCTAAGGACAATCACTAGAGGCTCTGGGAAAGAGAGGAGAGTTATCAACTGTTGGGAACTTTGACAAGCTCTTAGGAGAGAAACAAGGTGACCAGAACACCTGGGAAACAGTGATCAAAGAAGGTAGAAGGGGACGTGGAGAAAGGAGAATCCCTGAGAAGTGGTGATCTTGGAATTCCTGAAGGGAGGGAGAGGGTGGCCACAGGTCGCAGGAAGTGGGCAGTTTGGTATGGAGTCTGGGAGGGGAAAATAGAGAAACTGAACATTTCAAGAAATAGTACCTGGGAATCTGGGTGGGGGCCAGGGAAGACAGGGAGATAATAAGGTATGGCAGGTAGACCATGTGTATGGGATGGAGAGAGCCACGCAAAGCCTGCCAGCCAGGGGATCAAAGGGTGCTGTGCTCCTAGTCCCCAGCCCCACCTGTGGGAGGTGTTCCACTCTGGACTCCTGACACCCAGGTGCCAGTCATCAGGTGATACTCAAGAAGCTGCTGGTTGAATCCATTTTCAGGAGAGTAACCACCCACCAGGAGCAGAGACAGGCCTCGGCGGGCAGTGAGGGTGTGACCAGCAACTGCTGGCAACTCCACAGTCTGAGGAGCCTGAGGGATGGATGGCCAAGGTCACCAAGGGGCTAGAGGTCAGGGGTCACCTTATGGGTAGAAGCGAGACTTAGCTCCCAACAGTCCCTTCTAAACTGCCAAAGAGGTAGTGAGCCCCTAGGCCAGTCAGACCCCAGCCCTACCAATGAACCCAGTCCTGGCAGGTGTGTACTGGCCTCTAGTCACTTCCACCTGCTCAATGTCCTTGGGTAGCCTGGTATGGCTGCAGGAAGCCTGGCTCCTTTGTTTTCTCTCTGTGGCTGGGTGGGACTATGTCCCAGCCTGGCCAACTAGAGCATGACACTGCCTTGGCCAGGGATTGGCTTAGAACTACTACATGACCTGGGATGGCCAAGGAAATTCAATTCTGGGCCTTCTACTGGAACCCCAGGACAGTTTCCTCTGGTGGCAAAGCTGCAGGAGCTCCTATGGCTCCCTTTGCCAGAGCTTGGGCTGGGGGCTGGGAGTGGGCTGAGGAGAGATGCTTACCTTCTCCTGCCGCCACTGCAGGGTGGTGAGGTTGAGGACCCAAAAATCACGGGTGACACCTCCAGCTGTGAGGCCCCCCAGCAGGTACATGGCACCGCGGCCAGCAGGCACATAAGCAGCTGCATGGAAGGAACGGGGTGATGGGCCTGGGCCCCCATCTTCAGCTCCTGCCAGCATCTGTGTCCACCGCCGCTCACTCACGGAGTATCTGAGACCAAGGTACAAAAAAAAGCGCCTCATTACACAGTCTTCCTGGCATGTTCAAAGGTGATCCTGATGGATATCCCAACATCCCCTGGGGTGATCTTCCTATGACAGTTATTTCAGCATCTCTCCATGGGGTAGCAGTACCCAAATACCTACTCCAATTCCAAGGTATCCACAGGTGAGCCTCCTGTGACAAATGTCCCAGATTTTTGGGCAGTGTCAGTCACCTTAGAGGTTTTTCTAGACTCCCCTGAAGTGACTCAGGTGATAGACATCTCAACATCCCCTGAGATGACCTTCTCTCCTTCAGGTATCCCACCTCCCCATGGGCCTTCCTCACCTGTATAGGTTTCCCAGAAGCCCCTGAGGCAGGCCCAGGCCCCCAAACATCCACAAGGTTGCATCAGGTCCCTCCACCATGGTGTGCCCCAGGCGATGCAAGAAGCGGCTAGCAGTATCCTGGGGGTGAGAATGGGGGAGTCATGATAAAATATCAGGCCTGGGTGTAGGGTCCAGGGCTGGTCCCAGGAATGGGAGTAGAAAAATGATCCAGGAGGTGGGTTGTGTGGCATGTCCCCAGAAAAGGAGGGCCTGTGACTCACAGCTGAGAGGCGGCTGTCCATGAGGGTCTCCCAGACCAGCTGCCCACCATCCAGCTTTGTGGCACAATCAGGGCCCCCGAAGCCCTCAGCACAGATGCATATGCCTAGACTCTGGGGGACAACAGAGGCGGCTCAGGAGAATCCTGATCACCACCTTTGCCCCACCCACCCATCTGCCCTGTTCCACCTGTACCTGGTTACAAGTCCCTGCCCCAGTGTGGGCATTGCAGTTCTCTGGACACAGAGCCATGCGGCAATGTGGGCCAGCCCAGCCCTGGGGACATCGACAGAGCCCAGTACCTGCGGCTCCATCCTGAGGCACGCACTCCTGGGGAACAGGGCAGCTCCCAGGGCCCCCTGACCCACAGCGGGCAGAGCCCACAGAAGCATTGAAGCCCCAGGAGGAGGAGCCATTGGCCTCCCAGTGTAGTACCAGCAGCCCTGTGGAGAGACAGATTAGAAGCCCTGAAAGAAGCTATACTCTGGATACTACTCCACCCCTAGGGGTTAAGAAAACCCAGTGTGATGAGACAGGGAACAAGGAGCCCCAGCATTTATAATTACCACAGTTATTTACCATTCTCCTGAACCCCCTCCCTCAGCCAACCCATCAGTTCTAAAAACTGAAACTCTCATGTTCGCCCACCAGACACCTCCTTGGCTACTGTCCAAGCCAGTGTCTGTCTCACATGGACACTGGTGCCCCAACCCCAGTCTTAGACACTGCCTACACTCCACCTTTTCAGCAGCCCAATGATCCTTAAAAATACCAAATGACACTGGCCCCAGCAAGCTCGAAACCTTCCACAGCTCCCTACTGCTCTTACATAAGACGAGTTTCCTTAGAAAGGAGATTATTAGTGGTTTGAAGGGGACAGGAAATGATTCTGTGATGTGTTAGGATATGTAAAACACGTCTTAGTAAAGTTATATTTAAACAAAGAGCCCCCTCTGAAACCCACAGGGCCCTGCTGACTCCCAGCCTTATACCCTCCACTCTCCCTGTTCTTTGCACCCAGCACTGGCCCCTTCCTGATCTCAGGGTCTTGGTACCTGCTCCTACTTAGAGCAGCCTTAGGCCACCATGCCTCTGGCTTCATGCCATAAGTCAAATTTCACCCTCACTCTCCCAGCTCCCAGGGTGAAGCCAGGTGCCCACTCCTGTCTGTTCCCTCTCAGTCCTCAGGAAAGCTGTGATTCCCCTAAGCATGCTTTGTCCCACACATCCCCCCATCCAGGAGTCCTGATGGCAGCACCTGTGTCCCTTATTCACTTCTATATCCCTGGCTCTGGCTCAAGCTGGCTTACCACAGGTGTTCAGTAAACATTTGCTGAGTGAAAGGAAACCACCTCAGTTCCAGGGGCTCTCTTTGAGGGGCTGGGGGTTCATGCAATCTCTAGAAGGCCATGTATGACTCTGTCCCTTTGCCCCCTTTGTCTCCCAGCCTTGGAGCCACTCTGATTTACAACACAAAAAAGAGCATTCCCACACTCAGGCCCTAAACTTTAACTGTGGGTAGCAAATTCTATCATGTCTCCATCAGACCAAGCAGGGTTTCTTAGCCTCTTGGCACTGTGAATATTTGGGGGCACAGTCTTTCCTGTGAGGCTGTCCCCTCCGGGCCCCAACTATTAGATGCCAGTAGCTTCCCTAATCATAATAATCAAAATGTCTCCAGACGAAACATCCTCTGAGGGGCAACAATCACCCTAGGTTGAGAACCGCAAGGTTAATGAGATGCTCCAGGGTCCTCATGCCAGCCATAATCTATATTTCCTAAAGACAAGACACATCCCACTCAGCTCATCTCTCCAGAGAGCCAAGCCAGTGAGCACTCTCAACTGAGGAAACTGAGGCAACTAAGGCCCAGAGATGATGAGGGACTAATGTTACCCAGCAAGTCAGCAGCAGAGTCAAGCTGGTTCTGATCCCACTTCAGGTAGCAATTTTAGGGGTGAGGGATACACAGCCCTGGACAAAGAGGCCCAATCCCCCCAGCTCCCATACCAGACAGGGCCTGCACAGTGAGGGGCCTGTCCCGCTGCTGGCCACAGAAGGCAGCTATGAGGCTACGGTCTGACTGGACGACGCCAGTGTCCAGGAAGCGTGGGAATCCATCAAAGGCCAGGACGTAGCTCAGCTGCAGGGGTGCAGAGTCAAGGATTAGAGGACAATGAGGATGAGAAAGAAGGCACCTGGGGCCTGGGAGGGGAGGGGCTCCAAGGAGAGGGTGATCTACTGGGAAATGGGCTGTCTGAACATCCAAGGCAGACTGTCACACTGTGGCATGAAGGCTACTGCTCCCCACCCTGTGTCCAAAACAGACATGGCAAACAGATCAAGCTCTCTTGCATTGAACCTCTTTCTCAACACACAATCCGTGGCAGCTACAGCTGACCGATCAGAATTGGTGCATGAGGTATGACAATGTGCTACCCCTGGCATAGGAAAGGAGAGTTTGGGGATCTAGAGAATGGGGGATGGGAATTCAGAAAATAGGAAGTAATCTGGAAAACAGGAGAGTCTATGGGCATAGAAACACAAGGCCAGGGGTCTGAGCAATAGAGTTTGGGGTTTGAAGGATAAAAATAAAGAGAACAATATTGGGGTATGGGTCAGTCTAGGGATTTGGGTGGGGGGACAGGGTTCTGGCTCATATGCCTGACTCCAGCCTTCTTGGTGCTCACCGTGCAGGGAGTGCTGCTGTCAGGGGAGAAGGTGAGGGTGAGTGGGGGACAGAGAGTCCCAGGGGCACAGGGCTGTAGCAGCTCAGTGGCGGAGACAACCCATACACAGTAGGACAAGCCAGGCCCGGCTCTTGAAGTCCTGCCACCTGGAGGCAGCAGACCCCCAACCCGGCGTGAGCCCAGTGCCACTGAGGACACGTTGGTGAGGAGGGTGCGACCCCCACACTCTCGGAAGCAGGAGCCACCAGCCCTGGGAAGGTGGAGGAGAGCCAGTGTCAGACCAGTTCTGCCACACCCCACCACACCCCTGAGCCCCCCTACCCAGCCCTTGCTGGCCCCCTGGCTCACCGGGGGTCCCCATAGTAGCCTGGGGAGCAGAGCTGGCAGTGAGCACCCTCAGTGTGGTCCTGGCAGAAGCACAGCCCGCTGAGGTTGTCACAGTGGCCACGGCGTGGGTCCCCATGACCATTGCACTGGCAGGGCCGGCAGCCGCCAGAGCCCGTGGCGTTGCCAAAGCTGCCAGGCCGGCACCGTTCGCAGTGTTCCCCCCATGTCCAGTCTGTGGAGGCCCCAGCAGGTGGGACACAGGATCAGTGGAAAGGACAGGAAGGGGCCCAGACCAGCTGGCTCAGCTTATTCCTGACCCCCCCACAGCTACTTCAAAAGACAGAAGCCAAGGCCCAGGCAGGGATAAAGCAAGTCCAAAGAGGGAGAACTGAACTTAGTGACGCTGAAACCTATCTGAATCAGGAGCTGGGAGAGGGGCAGGGGACCCAGAGCTGCTCAAGAAGAGACCAAAGCCCATTCAGAGCAGAAGCTGGAGGCCTGAGAAGAAGCCAGGCCAGTCCCAGGGCTGGGGATGAGGGCTGCTCACCCTGGCACTCATCGCAGAAGCCAGGTCCCCGCTTGCGGCAATGGCTGTGGAAACTGCAGCCACAGTCCCGAGAGCAGCGGGGGGCAGGAGGACCTGGGGCGGGTGTGGGTGGGGGCAGGTCGGACGTCCAGCCCAGGTCACACACGCAGGTGAAGTCTGGGGGTCCACTGCATACCCCGTGGCCACAGTCCTCCATGCACCTGAGGGGCCGTAGCAGGAGTGGGGAAGAGGGCCAGGCAGGCCCAGTGCTCCCAAGGCCCCATCATTTCCACCCACCACAACCCCATCAAAGTCACTATCTGTTTCCATGACTCTGAGCTATGTGGGTGACCCTGTCTCCAAGGTAACTCCATCACATGTTGTCATGCCTGTCTCCATAGCAACCACATAGCACCAATGTGAAAACACCTTTTAAACTGGGTCCTGCTCCATCTCCACAGCACTGAAGGTGATGGCCCACATCCTAGGATTGACCTGTTTCCATGGTAACTAGGGGTATGCTTGGGGACCCTATTACGCTAACGCTAAGGCAGACCTAGTCTGCAAAATGAAAACTCTAGGCTAATTGGAGATGCTCGAGAAGCCCAGTGCCACGATGGCTTCCTTCCTTCCTCCTCACATGCCCTCCCTCACCCCACCCCACGAGGCAACATCTCCATGGCAACCCCTGCCTCACTCACGTGCGGTTGCAGTGCGTGATTCCATCGCCCTGGTAGCCCCGCTGGCAGTGACACTCATAGCTGAGGGGTGTGTTCAGGCAGGTCGCCCGTGGGTGGCACCGGGCCAGGCCCAGACGACACTCATCCACATCTGGACAGCGGGCATATGCCCAGCGAGCAGGGAGGGCAACGGGCAGCCCCAGACCCTCCCCAACCCACAGGGAGCAGTTACCCCCACTCAGGGGTCCTGAGAAGTCTCCCTGTAGGCACCTGTAGGATAAGAGATTGAAGAAATGGGGGACAGCACAGAAACAATGAGGGAGAAAGGAGGCCAGTTAGAGGGAGAGACACAGAAATGTGAACATGGAAAGAGAGACAGAAAATCCAAGAGCAGTTGCAGACAAAAAAAGATTTAAAAGACAAAAGGGAGGGAAAGGGAGAGAGAAGAGACAAAAACAGAAAGGCCAGGAAAAAGAGAGAAAACAAGTGCCAGAGACCAAGAAAAGGAGAACAAATGGAGAAAAAGAGGGGAAAGGGAGAAAAGCAGAGGAAGACGACAGGAAGGAAAAGGAAAAACAGTCACAGATGGGCAGCCCACAGGGCAGAGCAACAGGGCAGCTGCCAGAATGACCAATTACAGGGATGTGAGAACCAGGTGCCCCTGCCCACGCCTAGCCTCACCGTCCCAGAGTGGGATTGTCCTCGTTGCCACACCAGCCACACTCGTGGCTCTGTAGACACTCGTGACATGTCAGAAAGCCATCACAGCTCCTGCACCGCGGCTCTGAGTGCACACTGTAGGGCCACAGGGCTGGAGCGTCAGAGGCTGGAACCCTCCACCAGTGGGACCCTCCCTCTGTGATCCACACCCCTAGGCACCACACCTGTCGTCCCAGCCGCGGCAGCCCCCATGTGGGTACCGAGCCAGGTAGGCAGCAAACAGGAAGCAGGTGTGAGTAGACTGGCACCAGGCACACTGGCTGGAGTTGGCTAGGCAGTCATCGCAGGTCAGGCGCCTGGGGATAGAGGGCAAGGTTACTCCACAACCCAGCCCAGTCCCCATGCACACTCACCCACCAGCTCCCTGGACCCAGCCAGCTCACTGGCTACAGAGCGGGGGACACTCCTCTGGACTCTTCAGGGCACCCCGACCACGGCCCCGCCGGCTGCATGCTGCATCCCCTTTGCGGCTGGTACTCTGATGCCACTCACAGAAGGGGTCCTGGTGGGTAATTGGACAGAGGCAAAACCCCACTTGTCCCATTCTTTTTGGGAGTGCCCACCCCACCATCTGCTCAACAAGCAGCTGACTCCCTCACTGGCACACTGCAGAAACCAACCCCCAAGCCCACCTCCCTCCTTAGCTGTCTGCCTCTCTGCTCCTCCTTCAGCCACAGACACCGTGGTTCTGCCTGCTGAGCCATCCCCTTCTTTGGGCAACAGCACCCCTTCTGTGTGACTCAGGTGGAGCTGATTCAAGCCTTAGGATCCAGAGGTGAGCAAAGGACCATACTCCCTTCCTACAACCTGGGTCATTGGTCTAAGGGCCTGTGCAAGGTCCCAACAGAGCCAATGAAACTCAATTCTGGGACTTCTAATGAACTACTGGGTGGCGGTGGGGGAGAGTAGGAAACAGAGAGAGGCTCACTCCATTTGGGACTGGAAGGGGCAGGGATGAAAGCCTGGAGCCCTGGTGGCTTCTTTACTACTGTCAAGGAATGAACCCTCCCAGAGAATAAAAGGTTGCAGATTGGAGGAAGAGGGATGCCTGACATTATTTAAACCACTGGGTCAGGGCACCATGGCTCACGCCTGTAATCCTAGCACCCTGGGAGGCCAAGGCCAGTGGATTGCCTGAGCTCTTGGGTTCAAGACCAGCCTGAGCCAGAGCAAGACCTCGTCTCTAAAAACAGCTGGGCATTGTGGTGGGTGCCTGTAGTCCCAGCTACTTGGGAGGCTGAGGCAAGAAAATCACTTGAGCCCAACAGTTTGAGGTTGCTGTGAACTATGATGCCATGGGACTCTACCAAGGGCGACAAAGTGAGACTCTTATCTCAAAAAAATAAACAAACAAACAAACTGTTGGACCAGCGGGTGGTAGTCACGCCTGTAATCCTAGTACTCAGGGAGGCTAAGGCAGGGGTGGATTGCCTGAGGTCAGGAGTTTGAGATCAGCCTGAGCAAGAGCAAGGCTGGGCATTGCATATTTTAGTTTCTACTAAAAATAGAAAACTAGCTGGGCATTGTGGTGGGCGCTTGTAGTCCCAGCTGCTTGGGAAGGAGAGTTTAGTTGTATTTTCTGGCCCCTGCAGTAGGGAGAGACCTGACTCCCAGGAATCTATCTCTCCAGGCCCATCTCCTCTGCTTCCTGCTTGGCTCTTGCCTACAGATCAAGGACAATAGCCCTGGATGTTCCCTCAGCCCCCCACCAGGGAGCCCCTGGACTGCCCAGGCCAACTCTAAGGGGCCATTCCCAGTCACCAGCTCTGGCTGCCTCCACCTTGAGACCTCCACAGGGGGTCCTCAGGTACCTGGGTGCAGGCGTGGCAGTCTCGATGCTCCTCACAGAGTGGACAGAGGGCAGGTACCAGCACCAGCAAGGACCCCGTGGCCCCATCATCCTCGCAGTGGGTCCCACCCTGGCGCAGGTGGCAGGTAGCACTGGTCAGGCACCAGCCGCAGCCCTGGTCTGCCAAGCAGCCCAGGCAAGAGGAGTAAGAGGCACAGGCTGATGAACGGTAGGGCTCCAGGAAGAAGAAGGAGATCTCCTGTAGGAGGGACACATGAGGGTCAGAAGTCAAGGTTCAGGATTACGAATCAGAATCTGAAGTGAACCAGAGGTAAGGTCTGAAGATGAGGTTGGGAATTCAGGCATGTAAAAAGCCAGGATTTAGGAACTCGGCAAACAAAAAGGATCAGGGTCTGAGGGAATCTAGATAACAGATCAAAGTATGGATGGCAGAGGTCAGGGTCATCAGGGTCAGGGGAGTCAGATGTCGACAGAGCTGAATACATGGGATCAGGCAAGGTTCTAGAGCCAGTGTTTGGGGTCTAAAGGGTTCAAAGTGAGGTTCAGGCCAGCCATGGTGGCTCATACCCATAATCCTAGCACTCTGGGAAGCCGAGGCAGGTGGATTGCTTGAGCTCAGAAGTTCAAGACCAGCCTGAGCAAGAGTGAGACCCTATCTCTACTAAAACCAGAAAAACTAGCTAGAACACCTATTGTTCAGCTACTCAGGAGGCTAAGGCAAGAGGATTGCTTGTGTCCAAGAGTTTGAGGTTGCTGCGAGCTATGACACCATGGCATTCTACCAAGGGTAAGTCAAGGACTCAGGGGTCAGGATCCAGGGAGTTCAAATCTGAAGCCTAAGGTTCAGAAAGTCTAGGGAATCTGAGGCAAGGGCCAAGGATAGGGTGAGAGGCCGGATCCTGGGTACTTACACTGCCACCTGGCACTCCAGTCCGGTCCCACAGCAGAGTGAGCTCGCTGTGCCCAGGGCCTGCTGAGCCGTTGAGCTGGCCCCGGATCTCTACTGCGTATTTGTGGTCCCGCCCAAGCAGTGGGAAGAGGCGAGCAGACCCTGGGCACTGCAGCCGCCTTGTCTCCTTCTCCTGCTGAGCCACCCAGCGCCCCACCTCTTCCTGGGTAGGGGTGAGTGACACACAGGGGCCTCAGACCCCTGAAACCTCCAAGAGCCCCAAACCCACCTCGACCAGGACTCCTTAGGTCCTAAGAACCTCCAAGGTGGCCCAGTCCCACCCCCTAGTGACCCACCTCCTCCTCAGGAGACTCCGACACCTCAGGGAAGTCTAATTCAGACCTTCCTCACCTTCAACATTTCCTCCAAATATTCTTTGCAAACGAAAATCCCAGCACCCTCCCTCTTCCCATGCCTATGATTTCTCCCTAGTCTTCCCCAGAACCTTCAAATCACCACAGATGCCCTGCACCACACCCCTAGCCCCCACATTTACTATAACCACCTCCCAACCGTAACCACCCCCCAAATGTCCCAAGCACCCTCACCATGTTATCTGTGTCAGGGCCACAGGCCATCCGGGCCAGGACATGTAGGCGCTGGGCCCGAGCCCACACGGCCACGTCCTCAGCCCCGGGCCCAGCTGGCCCTCCCGGCAGCAGAGGGTGGATGAAGCCACGGTAGACCAGGGATACATCTGTCTCTGCACTGGGTGTAAGGGTGATGGTCGTACTACGGACAATTGAGACCTGTGCCAACCAAGGATGGGGTGCATGTATGAGTCCCCTCTCTGGCCTGTCCCAAGTCTCCACACCCTCCAGGCCACATCAGAGCCAGAAAAGACAAATCAACCCAACCTTCATACCTGTTTTACCCAATGAGAGACTGAGGCCAGGGGCAAGGGTTAGGTGACTTGCCAAAGGCCACTCTGGGAGAAGAAAAGGGACTCAAATTCAGACAAACACAGTTCCAGAATCCATCTCTTCCCCTGGCCTGGCCCCTGCCCACTTACATCTCACCTTAAAACTCCAGGACTAGACCCTTCACTATCTTCTTCCCCAAATCCCTACCTTTCTACCTAAGCCCTTCAAAGCCCAGATCAACAATCAAAGTGATGGACACAGTAGACAATTTATTTTGCCAGTGTGTGATTTTGTAATAGCAGAAAACTGGAACAACCCGTGTTCATCAGTGGGAGGCTATTTAAATAAACTGCAGCACTACAATGTTAGAATATAAATGGAATATTGCACAGCTATTAAAAAAAAAGAATGGGGGTGTTTCCCAAGTTCTGTTATAGGAAGCTTGCCAGGCTGTGTTAAGAAAAAAAGGAAGTGGTATTATAGTATGGATAATATACTACTTCCTGTGTGCAAAGAAGAAAAATAGTAAAATGTCACATTTACTTGCACTCAAGTAGATAGATTCTGGAAGGATATAAAAGAAACCCAAAGAGATCTTTTGGGGAGGTATGGTGATCTTAAATTAGGGCACTCCCAGAGCCAGATAATTCTAGGTCACTGGAGGGGTGGGGAATGGTGTAGATGGGAAAGATTTGTCAATCAGAACTTTTTTTTTTTTTTTTTGAGACAGAGCCTCAAGCTATCCCCCTGAGTAGAGTGCCGTGGCATCACAGCTCACAGCAACCTCCAACTCCTGGGCTCAAGCGAGTCTCCTGCCTCCGCCTCCCAAGCAGCTGGGACCACAGGCGCCCGCCACAACGCCCGGCTATTTTTTTTTTTTGGTTGCAGCCGTCATTGTTGTTTGGCGGGTCCGGGCTGGGGATTCAAACCCGCCACCTTAGGTGTACGTGGCTGGCGCCTCAGCCGGTTAAGCCATAGGTGCCAAGCCAATCAGAACTTTTTATATCATGTGAATATATTGCCTATTTTAAAAATCAATAAAGGGCCACTATGGAAACAGTTTGGAGGTTTCTCAGTAAGTTAAATATGGAAATACTATATGACCTAGGAATTCTTCTCTTAGGCATATATACCCATCAAGAAGTAAAAACAGGGTGGTGCCTGTGACTCAGTGAGTAGGGCGCCGGCCCCATATACCAAGGGTGGTGGGTTCAAGCCCGGCCTCAGGCCAAACTGCAACAAAAAAATAGCTGGACATTGTGGTGGGTGCCTATAGCCCCAGCTACTCGGGAGGCTGAGGCAAGAGAATCACCTAAGCCCAAGAGCTTAAGGTTGCTGTAAGCTGTGACACCACAGCACTCTGCCAAGGGTGACAAGGTAAGACTCTGCCTGTTAAAAAAAAAAAAAAAAAGTAAAAACAGGTGTTTAGACCAGGTGAGGTGGTTCATGCTTATAATCCTAGCACTCTGGGAGCCGGAGATGGGAAGATCGTTTGAAATAAGGAGTGAGACCCCACCTCTACAAAAATAGAAAACATTAGCCTTTGGTCAGGTGCAGTGACTCACACCTGTAATCCTAGAACTATGGGAGGCTAAGAAGGGAGGACTGTTGGAGCTCAGGAGTTCAAGATCAGCCTGAGCCAAGGGTGAGACCCAATCTCTACTAAAAGTAGAAAAACTAGCCAGGCATTGTAGTAGGTGCCTGCCATCACAATTAGTTGGGAGACTGAAGCAGGAGGATCACTTGAGCCCAGAAGTCTGAAGTTGTGAGCTATACTGATGCCATAGCACTCTATCCTGGGCCACAGAGTGAGACTCTGTCTCAAAAAAAAAAGTAGCTGGGCATGGTGGCATATACCAGTTACTAGGGAAGCTGAGGCAGGAGGATCACTCAAGTGTAGGAGTTTGAGGTTGCTGTGAGCTACGATGATGCCACTACTCTATAGCCTGGGTGACAGAGCAAGACCCTGTTCCAGAAAAACAAAAGCAAATTACAAAATAGGTGTTCAAACAAAAACCCGTACATGAATGTTCATAGCAGCATTTTTCACCACAGACAAAAGATGTAACAATCCAAACGTCCGTCAGCTGATGAATGGGTTAGACCTACACAAGGGATATTATTTAACCATAAAAAGAGCTCTTTTTAAATGAAGTTACACATGGATGAACCTTGAAGATGTTGCTAAGTGAGAAAGAACTCAGACACTAAAGGCCACATATTGTATGACCTCATTACTCAGTACATCCAGAGCTGGCAAATCTGGAGACAGAAATCAGATCAGTGGTTACCAGAGATGGGGAGAGGGGAGTGGAGACAACACTGAATGAGCCCAAGTTTCTTTTGGGGGTGATGAAATGTTCTGTAACTAGACAGTGGTAATGGCTGTACAGTATTATCAATATGCTAAGTATCACTAATGGTAGTTTTATGTATATTTTACCACAATACAAAAATGCTTTAAGTCCATAAAGAAACTTAGACCCTGGCTCAGTGCCTATAGCTCAAGCAGCTAAGGTGCCAGCCCCATACGCCAGAGCTGGTAGGTTCAAATCCAACCTGGGCCTGCCAAACAATGACAACTACATCCAAAAAATAGCTGGGCGTTGTGGCAGGTGCCTGTAATCCCAGCTACTTGGGAGGCTCAGGCAAGAGAATCGCTTAAGCCCACAAGTTGGAGGTTGCTGTGAGCTGTGATACCACAGCACACTACCCAGGGCGACAGCTTGAGACTCTGTCTCAAAAAAAAAAAAAGAAAAAAAGAAACTTAGACCCTTGAATGTAAAGGCCTTGCGGGTAGCTAGAGTAATACAGATCCATTTGGAAAAAACAAACCCTAGGACCAGGGCCACTCCACGGCAGGCCCCATCTCCTGGCTTCCCACCTTGTCAGGCTGGGAGGTGTTGGGCGGCTGCTGGAAGGTGAGCAGGTGCAGGCCAGGCAAGAAGCTCTGGGTGACGCAGGCCTCCAGTGACGTGACAAAGACGGGCACGGGCCCCCACCAGCCCACAGTGCCTGAGATCTGCTCCCCTCGGCAGCGGGCCTGCTCTGAGAGGACAAGGGGCAGGAGGTTGGGGAAGGTCAGTGTGGGGTGCTCTGCCACCCCTCCCCTACTGCCACTGGACACTCACCAGGCCGAGGCAAGCAGCTCTCGTTGTGCACACACCAGCCCAGGGCACCAGGCCCCCGGGGAGGGGCTGTAGGGCTGCTGAAGGCCAGGCATGCCTGGCAGTCACCCAGGAGGCGGCCCAGACCCAGACAGCTGGCAGCTGGACACTGCAAGGAGGGCAGGGAACAGGGCTCATTGTCCATAGGGACTCAAGGGATCTGGGAAGGGCTATGGACACAGGGTCCCTAGGGGGAAGGGGTTAGGAAAGCAGTTGGAATGTAGGGGGATTCAAAAGGTCGGGGGTGGGGTAAATGCAAGGGACAAGGTCACAATCTCTAAAGTATTGGGAAGGTGGGTTCAGGAGTCAGCAGTCAGGATTCAGGAATGGTGGTCTCAGGGGTGAAAACATTAGGGGAAAGTTCCTATCTATCTACTTGGTTTAGGCAGAGGGAGATACTGAGGGCAGGCCTCTGTGCTAGGAACAGAGGGTTAAGACAGTCACTCACAGCCCCAGAGGGGGTTCCAGGAGGGGGTGCAGCTTGGCAGGCTCCCTGACACCAACTGCA